ACAGACTATATAATTATGATAGTAAAATGGAATCGAACATTAAAAGGAGATCACTGATTGGGGTGCAGAAGCATTGATAGACAAAAACCATAAATACAGAAAATGATGTTCTAAAAAAGACGGCTCAGAAATATAGATGTTAATGCGCATCTTCTCCTGATGAACACAGTTCGATTCGTCCACACCACAGTCAGAACAAATGTCAAATTATCACAACAAGTTATGATACAATCTCCTTAAAAACTCGCCTTGTCTTGAACTGAAATCGTTCTTAGTTCAGCAAAAATCGACGACCCTTGCTCGTGCACTATGAGTATTAGTTTATCAATAACAAAAGAAAAAAAAACTGCTAGTACATTCTATTTTTGACTTCCATTAAAATTCTTCGGAGCTAGATTCAAAGAAAACTTTTAATTCAACAAAAACCTAACGTCCTCAAAAAATTACAGCAATGTCACTAAATTTAAAAAATTTCTCTGATCAGAAACTTGCGCCCTCTACAAATTGCCGTAACTATCTGAGTCTTAAAAAGTTTTTATTGCGAAAAAAACTAACGACCTCTACAAATTGCAGCATGCTTCGTAAAAAAAAATAAATTTTTATAAAAATCTTTTAAAACAATTTACTTTCAATATTCGTTCACAGTAATCGAGTTTTTAAAAGTTAAATATAAATTTTAATCGTTTTACAAAAATTGATAAAATTATCAAATTTAAATCAAACGAAATTTTAAAAATTTTAATTTACTTAAAATTTGTTTTCTTTATGTTCGCAAATGAGAGGTAGCCATTGGTAGCACATTGGCATAAATAGCAAGAGATATATGTTGAATCAGGTACAAGAGGTGGGTTATTAGATTAACAATGTAACTTTTTGATAAACTCAGTCGAACAATCTTCTACTAATATCATATCATTATATAGCTTATAGTGTCCTCTAGCAAGCATCAAAGTATGGTGATAAAATAATAGAAAGTCGTTTCAAAAAAAGTGATCAAACAAACCCTCCCTCAGCCTGAGTGTGATACCAAAGGACTATAGACTTACCACCGTTGTCAGGATCAATGTCTATTTTTGATCATAATAAAGTAATTATAAACAATTAACCAAAACGCTATTGGCAAATGATAGCTACCGTGTTTAAGTAAATATTCAATCAATAAAGATATAAGAAACACATTACAGAAATATACAAAAATCAAGATACCATAAAGTCTTACTTATGAATAATATAAGTCATTATTTCTGTTTCTTAATAGCCGTCGCTTTTTAACATAGCGTTGATTGTAGGGGGTCACTACCTCTATATGGCCATAGCCATTAAATATAATAAATACCTTCTATTACATATAAAAAATAAAAAGAATAAAAAAATACCAAAACTGAAAAAATGCAAAATTTCAATCTAAATTTGAGACCAAAGGACTGTAGATATTTTCATAGTTGCATCATGTTCATGGTTGACAGATCTATCTCAGTGGAACAGATTCTTTTCTGATATTTTCGCATCGAAAGGTTAAAAGTAGTTCAGCAAGTGAGCTCGAAATATTGAAGATGGAAAATCTTTACTTTAGATCGAATTTAACCTCTATGACTAACCAACTTTTTGTGAGACCGTAATCAATACATTCGCTGTAATCCAAGGCCGTATTGTAGTATGAGAAAGAGTGAATTCAAAATTTAGAGTTAGGAGTTTGATGAAGAGTCAGATAAACTAGCTTCAGTGCCCTTAACATTGATAAAGAACCGGTGACAAACGATCGATTTTAAAAGTTACACCGAAACATATAACACGACTTGAAAATGAAACGTTATTATATTGTGATGCTAAATCTTGCTTAATTCTTTACCTTGTGCTACTCATCCACTAGAATCAGTGCTGAGTCAACCATGAGAATAGTTTCTACAGATGCTAATTATGATAGTGATGTAGTTAAATTTGGACCAAGTCATTTCATTATAGAGATCTTGAATGGCATGAAGATTGAATTTATTGATTAATTTGACTTTTTCGGAATTATACTGCTATTTTATTTGTATACAGTTGAAGACTTACTTATCATGAACTATTTTTTGAAAAATGGGTCATTTCGGAGGATGATATATGATGAGACATCTGCAAAGACAGTTATATTCAGATGAAAGTCAGATCTTCAATTTCCAGCATCGTATCTGGATCGTTGGTCTTTATGTTCTCAATATAATATGAAATCATTGCTTCTGATTCCAATCCGAAAACACTCATTTCTTTTGCTAAAGTTTCGTCAAGAAGAAAGGTCATAACAGAGGTCAGCAAATTTCTATCTGTTATTGTTCTAACAAAGTGTTTGTCATGATAATCGTATTATTTTATGAGTTTATATCAAAGAAAACATAACTCTAAAAAACTGTTTTTCATGTTACTCATCACGAATGGGTCAAAAATGATTCAACCCTTTCATGGAAAATGTTGCTTTTACATTTATAATCAAGAAATTTCTAAGAACCACTCTGTAAATAGATTATGCTCATAGTATTATGCATCAACTATATAAATAGCAGAATAATCAGTCTGTGTAACTAAATAAAACAGATTCTTTTGATTTTCTTAAGAAAATTCCGTTTTCCAACTCATAAATCTTAACCAAGGAAGGATAAAAAGAAGTTTAATATATTTTTTTGAATTCGTAGTTGATTAAAAGCTCTAACAATGTTCTGAAACCTTAATATCGATCCGAGGCTTTAATGCTCCAAATAGATAGTTTCTATGAATGGATCAAAAATGGTCCAACAGAAGATAAAGGATTAAAATAGTTGAACAATCTTCTTTAGAATTTAAACTTTAATATTTAGTGAATTCTTGAAGAACATCGAGTTAGTCAACATCACATGTTCTTTAATATAAAAAGATGTTTCACGAGGACAATACCTACATCATTTCTTTCGAACGTTCCATAGCATACCAAATATGCCGTTAACAATCATTTTGTTTTGTGTTTGATTATATGCATTCATTTGACCTCTCACGAAAATATTTTCGAATAATATATACAAGACTGGATCTTATCGGTTTATCAATCTATGTTCAATACCAGTTGCATTTAACTATCAGAAACAAAGAAAAATTTCAATAAAATGAATTCATTTGAATTCAGGATGTGGGTGTGGGGTGGGTGGTGTGGGTGTGGGGTGTGGGGTGTGGGTGTGGGCGTATGGGTGTGGGTGTGGGTGTGGGGTGTGGGTGTGTGGTGGGTGTCGGTGTGGAGTATGGATGAACAGAAGATCAGCGAACACCTACATCCACATTGACACCCACACCCACCCATGCACACCCACACTCACATCCACTCTCATACCCACACCCTACACCCATCCACACCCACCGCACACCCAGACCCAGACCCACATCCACCCACACTCG